ACCAATCTAGTAATGTTATTTCTTTAGCAAACCTGTGGAAAGAGCACAAACATTTGTTTTTCGGAGTCTTATAAATAATTGCTGTTATAAGTGTGGGGTTTTTTTTTCAATAGATCTTATTTACAATCTTACCGTAATCTCTACCCAAGGAGGCTATTGCTATATTTGGAAATGTCCCTTACTCCTTCAATTTGGAATTGATCTCCAGGAGTAATAGAAAAAAGCTGTGGAACTGATTTTGTTCAGATTTGAAAAAAAAAAACTATAGTGCAACTCAGCCCAATAAAACAAAGTTAGCAACAAATTATCAAATTGTTTTTCAATGTCACCTCTTCTCTGTCCATTTTTTTTGGAGATAAGGCAGAGTTGGGCAATAATTTTTAAAGGGGACCACTTTATACATTTCTGAAGTAGCCCTGGGCCACCTCAGAAGGAGCAGGGACTTGAGGAGGATTGGGTAGGGCCAGGAGACTTTATGTGCTCCCCCACCCACAAACTCTGATTGGCCTGGGGCTGAGGGAGAACGTAAAGTATTGTTTTAAAACAGCTTGCAGTTCCCTCTAGGCGCCACAGCGTGAGGAGACTTCATGCGTTCCCCCTGCCTGCAGGCCAGTCAGGGCCTGCGGGGCAGGGGTAAGTACGCAAAGTCCCTTGCCCCCTTTGTTCACCTTGCCAGTTCCCTCTGATACCAGGGCGTCCCTTGTGAGGACAGGAGACTTTGCACACTCACCCATCCCCAGATCTTGATTGGCCTGGGGTCTGGGGAGTTGTAGGGTGGCCACAGGCCAGATCTACCAGCTTGGCGGGCTGGATTCAGCCCACGAAGGCTGTCTTGTCCTCCACTGGGATAAGGTGAAGAGAGGCAGTGATCTACTGCCTAACAGTGTCTCCATTTCCAATCACTTTGATTCACTTCATTCAGACTAGCACTGTAGATACATGTTCATTTAGAATTCAGATTCTTAAGGAAGACAACTCCATGGAGAAATTAAGGCCACACTTTAAAATAGTCTAGCTCAGGAATATTCACATTTTCATAGTGGATCACCTTTTCCGATCAGTTTCCTGGAGTATCTCCCTCCATATCTTGGATAAGTGGAGCAATTTTAGAAAACTGCAGTATTTTAGTTTCTTTTAATATGCTTTGGCAACTTAAAAAGTAGGGGGAGGGGGAGAGGGAGGAGAACGCATGATCAACACTGACTGGCCAGCTCTCTGGAAACCATCAGAGTGTATTTTTTTTTTTGATTACCAGTAATCTACAACCAATAATTTGGAACCATTTTCCAGAAAACTATGAAGGTGGTACTCAACCTGCTTAATGTTGAGTATTGCACTTATTGAAAGTAGGGAGGTATACAGCTAGTCGACTGTCCAATAAGCACAATCTTATCGGATAGTCAGCTAGTGATGCAATTAGTCACTTCACTCCCCTTGCTGCCTCTATCAGAGAGAGGGAGAAAGGGGCAGGGAAAGCAGGAGCCGGTGCTGGGGAGAGGGAGCGACTTAAAAGCCGGTTCCCCCAGCACTGTCTTCACGGAGGGCAGGAAAGGTAGAGGCACAGTGAGAAATGGCGGAAGCAGGGACCGAAGCAGTCTTCACTCACACTGCTTCTGCTGCGATTCTGCTTTTGAAATGTATAAGAGCGTCACTGGGGCTTTTATACATTTCAAAGGCTGAGGCGCTGCAGGGAGTGCGAGGCCAGCAGGGAGCCCAGCCAGGGTTCTTGAATATTTCAAAAGCTCAGGCACTGCAGGGAATGCAGGGCAGTTCTCCACTGGCCCCATGCTCCCTGTGAGACTTCTGCTCTTGAACTGTAGCAGGAGCCCAGTTGGAGGCACCCTTATAGACTAATCGAATAGTTGATAGAAATCCCATCAACTATTTGATTAATTAACTAATCTAAATTTGACATCCCTAATTGAAAGGTTAGAAATTACAGTAGAAATCTTAGATGAACTTATGAAACCCACAATAAAGCCAAATGATTTTTATCATGGTTGTCTCATACCAAAAACTGTAATAGTCAGTTGATTTCTTGCCAAAAAGAAAATTATAGTACTCATCTGTCCTTATTAATTTTATGTGTAGTGTAATAGCATCCAGAACAGCAGCCTTAAAGAATTGCCCTATGTGCTAGGCACCATATAGATAGAATTAAAGCAAGTAAAGGTTTGGCAAATTTACTCTTAGAAAAATCTTGAAAAAATATAAGGAGAGTGGAAAGGCATTTCTGCTAGGAAAATTATAGTTAGCACTTTCTGTATGCAGCATAGCAGAAGAATAGTAAAATGTGGGAAGACATTTGCCTCCCTACTGAGAAACTGTACAAATGAGTAAGTAGCAAGAGTGCTACTCACCTTATCTTCTCATGTAAAAAAATCATTAGAGTAATTTTAGATCTGACAGAACTCTAGAATTTCTAGTTGGGATTGAATCTACATAAATGTGTCAATTATTGGGAGATGTTGTTAGCATCTTTTCTATTTTACAAAATTCTTTATTTTCCAAATTGTTTTGTAGAGTAGGGTTGTTTTCATTCCTATGTCTGAATTCATATTTAATTATTTAAAACAGTATATAATATTTCAATTATTTGTTACTGCTAAGAGTTTCAGAGAACAGAAGTTATGTAACAAACTGAACCCTGAAGATATATTTAGAAAGGACTTAAAGCTTCAGGGAAATGAAGTCTTTATTTACAGTCCTTAGAAAAAGACAGAAGCCAACTAAGGCTGTATTCTGAGGATGAATTGAACAAGGAATATGAAAATCATATTAAAAGAATGAAATCTTCTGCAATATTACCCAAAATTTGCTCCTGTGCAGAAAAGGCTGTTACCTTGCAATACGTATTCTTGTCTCTGTGGCAGTTGACTATCAAACCCTTTCACATTAGTATTTTTAAAGTATTGCATTTCTAAGCATTCTGCATATGTCTTTTAGGGGAAGGTTCTTAATTCTTTCACTTAACCAAAAATTTGATGGATTCTTCACTTTTGGTGTCTTCAAATCAAAACTGGATACCTTTGTGGAAATTATGCTTTAGTCAAATTGTTCAACACTAAACAGGGCTACTTGATTGAAGTTTAATGGCTTTTACAGTGTTTGCATATATACAGTTCAGACTAGGTGATTTAAGATCCTTTTGCCTTAACCCTACGAATGTTTGTCATCATTAGTAAAATGCGCTCATTTGAGGACACAAGCAGCTGAATTCTTCTGTTTGTTCACATTTGCGAATGAGGGGGTAGTTCTTTCTCCTTTCCCATTCAGTCTTAGGCTTACTGCTAAGATTTTCAGTTGGGGCTTTTAACATTAGTTTTCTGAGGTCAGCATCTGACAACTAGCAAATGGGATGAAAACAAACTAATTTCACATAGGTCATTAGACATCCAGATGTGGTAACTATCATAGAGCTCTTTATATCACATGATCATACCAATCAAGAAATAGGCTTTTAGCCCACCTATTAATCAGCTTTGATAATAGCCATTTCTAAATTATGTCTTCAAGTTTGAAGAGAGATGTACCAAAGCTTGCTCCTGATGTCAGACTTTAAGGGGGTTAAGATAAATCCTTAACTATATTAAAGGTGAACTTAAGGATTGCTTCAGATGACTATCAAATCCTGATTTGATAGGGGAGATAAAAGCAAGAATTTAAAATTATTTCTAAATGATGATACTCAGCACAGAGCAATGTAGGAGATTTGTTTAGTCCTTCTACAGGGCTAACTGGTTTTATCATCTTGATCTTTATTAATTTTCACACCCAGACTGGTGTAAGGGATAGTTTTTAAGTTGGCATCTTCTGATCCAGTATTCTCTGTGGTTAAATTAGCAAGTTAAGGGGTGGTTTTTTTCCTCACTTCACCTTCTTGAATAAAGATACCTTTTTAAGGGTATTGATCAGTATTTTCACTTTTCACCAAAACTAAACAGTCTGATTCAATCCAGAATAAAAATAAATAATTTACTGTAAATATTATACTAGAATAATATGAACAAGATGTTCAGCTGTTATGCTAATGGCTGCCAATAGGAATCTCCCATAGGGAGAACATAAAAGCAATGATGTCTAAGCTAGTTAATACTGAAAGAGGTGTGACAAATATGTTGCAAATTTATGGATTATTGCATAATGGCAACTTGACTTCCCTTGGCATGAACTGTGTCTGCTACTTATGTATTGCCAATCACCTTCCTTGGGTAATGTCTATGTGCAGAAGTCAGTCATAAGCAAGTCCATACATCAATTATCCTTTTAAGATTATGAATACATAAAAGGTCAATTTCCTTCTGATATATTTATTGGCTTTACACTAAAATGAATCTTGGCAGGAAAGTTATTTTGTGTTCCCCCTGAACTTCAGCATTCCTTTCTCTTTCTCTCGTTGTTGTGCCCTATCACTTTTGAAGAATTTATTTATATCCATCCAAATACTAAAAAAAAAAAACTCTTGCCTTACTAACACATAGTAACAGGCAATTAATATTTAAATAGTTACATTTTAAACTTCTATTGGAATGTTCATTCCCTTCTGGCTGGAACCCAGTATTAAAGCTCAAAACAATGCTACACAGATTAACAATTCTGCTATTACAGATAAAAATGTAAACTATAGATTGCTTTCTGTAATATGACAATATGTCTCTTTGGTTTTTAAAATTAAGAAAAAGCTTTTCTGTGTAATTAGTAATTTGGTGCTATTTAATTGGCTAAGTTTAATACTATTAAAATAATGTAAGTGACAAAAATTGTGTTACCACTGTTTTTAACAATTCTTCCACATTCTGTCATTGACAGATTAGGCACTTTCATAAATCAAAATACACTCTATGATTCAGTTATGTTCAAAACTACTGTTACATTTAATTGGATTTTCTGTAATACATAATTTCCAGAGGGTTCTGCTTCATGTTAAAATCTCAGTTTTAAAACTCAGTTGAAGGCATTAACAGAATGTGTTCAATAATGTCTTCTCTTTGTATTTTCAGAAACACATCAATATTAGAGACATTTAAAAGAACCCTACTATCCTGAAAAGGACATAAGTAACCATACGTTAACATGCCTGCTGTGGCTTCTGTACCTAAAGAACTCTATCTCTGTACTTCATTGAAAGATCTTAACAAGAAGACAGAAATAAAAGCTGAGAAGACTAGCACAAAAAAGTATGTGAATTTCTTTGTTTAGCTGGTTTTGGATTAATTGTTCAAATTCCACCACTAAATAAAAAGTGCACAGTATTCATTAGTTTTGTGTACAGATGGTTCTAATGTAAACCAGTTTTCTAAATAAGCATTAAATTAATTAAGTAGTAATGTTGCACTTCTTGCCAGATTCCAGCTCAGGTAATTGGGTACATAAATTCCCTCTTCAGCTTCCCTAGATATGGTAGCTTCCCTCACTCCTGTGAATTATCATACTAAATATGAAGATGATCCAAGACATCATGTTTCAACAGTTAGTGAAGTGGACACGACATCTGTGAAAGTTTTTTAAATGCACTGGAATTTTTTGAGACAACAGGCTATATATATATATATATATCTGTGTGTGTGTGTGTGTGTGTGTGTGTATAAATGCAAGTTATTAATATCTGTTGAAAAATTCATCCATTAATGGGAATAGAAAAAGCTTAACTTCGGAATTTGTAGGATGAATCTTCATGCAGTTCATTGTATGTTTTTATATAACTAGTGTTCTAAAAGTGTCAGTCTACTCTGTATTCTAGAGTGAACTGGTTTCCTTGTGTAGGTTGGTTTGTTTTTGAAATGTGTTAAACTGCCATTTAATTTATTACCGAATAAATAGCTAACAAAGAATAGTAAAGAGAAACATAATTCAGGGGGGAAAAAGTAGTTGTAGTTTAACTATAAGATTTTGATTGTATTGCCAAAGGGACATTTAAACTAAGTGGACACAGAATAGGAATATTTAAGTCAAGAGTTTATTGCAGAACTGACTGTTCTTTTGAAAGCCAAGTCAACAATTGAGTTTTTTTAATTGCTCTTTTTCTCCAATTTCAAGTTATGTGCAAAGTGCCCTTAAGATCTTCAAGGCAGCAGAGGAATGCAGGTTGGACAGAGATGAAGAAAAGGCTTATGTTCTGTATATGAAATACGTGACTGTGTATGATCTTATTAAAAAAAGACCTGACTTCAAGCAACAACAGGTATAGATCTTTCTGACTGCGTTTTTTATATTGGTAGGAATAAACATAAGTACATTGAATCAGTGGGCATTATAGCTGAAGATTTGAGGTTTAGTTGAAAGCATTACATGGTTGTGCATTACTGAGACAGGAATTTCATTAGTGGATTTGTTTATTTAAACTTTTGTAGCTTGTGTTAAGTGATGTCAAGTATCAGAGGGGTAGCCGTGTTAGTCTGAATCTGCAAAAGCGACGAGGAGTCCTGTGGCACCTTATAGACTAACTGAAGTGTAGGAGCATAAGCTTTCGTGGGCAAAGACCCACTTCGTCAGATGCATGCATGTGTTAAGTGAGGCAGTCCATTATTGCAAGCCTCCTTTATTACTTTCTGTTACAAGTGCCCTTTGCCAATTACATTGGAATAAAGTCTACTGGATATGTAAATACTATGATTCAAGGGGTAGCCCTTTTGCTCTCCGTTAAAGTGCTTTATTGGTGCGAAACTAAATTGATTATTCCATTTAATGATGAAAATCTTAGTCCCTTGAAAGTGGCTAAATGTTTGGAGTTTTTTACCCTCCCAATCTTGTGACCAGAGTACAGGAACATTATTAATCAAATATTAACAAGTTTATGTATATTTGCCTTGCCTCTATATGTAGTAGTATTTTTTTCTTAAAATATTGAAGAGTGGACCTCCACGTTTTATTTACGGAGTAACTATGGCTACGTCTACACTGCAATGCTATTTTGGGATACTGGAGTATCCCAAAATAGCTATCCTGCGTCTTAACAGCAATCCCGTTATTTCGGGCTCACTATTCTGATGTCCCTGTAAACCTCATTCCACAAGGCGTAAGGGACATTTTGGAATAGCAAGTAATTTTGAAATTTGGTGCTGTGTAGACTGAACCAAGTTACGAAATAAGCTATTTCAAAATAAGATCAAAATAAGATACACAATTTGAGCTATGCAAATTGCATATCTTATTTCGAACTACAGTGCAATGTAGATGTAGCCTATGGCAGCAATATAAAATTACTTTTAGATTTAATTTTTTCTTTTGGTAATTTCATTACATCTTCAGTGAGCTGTAAACTAAGTGCTAAATGTTGTTCTTTATGTCTGTAGAAGTATTCTATCCTGTATGTTTATTGGACAGTATTAACTATATGGTAGGGTTGCCCTTGTTTTAGGATTACTTTCTTTCTATATTGGGACCTACAAATATAAAAAAAGCTATTGAAGAAGCTGAAAGACTCTCAGACAGTCTCAAACTTAGGTATGTACAACTTTATTTTACAAAGCAATATGTAAAAATAGTGAATATATTTGAAATGTATGCATCTGCTACTGTAGTTTTGCCTTTTATGTGAATTAAACATTGTTTGCAGTAATCCAGAGATTAAAATTTCAGATTAAATCTTTTATTTAAACTGGATTTCAATTGCCATCGTTCATCCTAGTCACTTCAAACTAATGTGCTTAAATCTGCCTAGTTTCTCTCGAATTTTTAACAACTTACTGAATCTCTGTAGTACAGAACTCTCTGGTCTGACAATATTTGTGGTCCAGCAGGAACATGGATATTGCTGGACCTGAAAGCTAACAGGGCCAGTGTCCTGGGGGCAGGGAGCCCTGCCAGCTGGAGCAGGGCTGATGGTGGGAGAGGATCCTCACAAGCAGGCTGGGGGCAGCAGAGCCCAGCAGCCAGGCTGAAGGCAGTGCAATGGCTGGGGCTATAGCCAGGAGGGGAGCACTGGGAACGCCCGAGGCCTGACCTCCCTGGTCTGGCAAACTCCCTTGTTCAGGACTGCTCAAGTCCTGAGGGTGCCAGACCAGGAATGTTCAACCTGTATTATCAACAAGTGTTCTGTTTTTCACTAATGTGTACAACCAGAGGTTCCAGTGAAAACTTCTAGATAATTACTGTTAAACTCACTCTGCTGTTATAAGTCCTTTCCTAGTATTCTTTCCTGTTACGTGATCATACTAAAGCCAGGTGTATGTTATGAGCACTTTGCCAGCATCGATATACTATGCCAGTGTACTGAATTAGGAAAGTGCTTTTAGAGTGGAATCAGTTTTTGCTAGCAAAACTGAACTTTTACGTGAAGGCAATATTTTAGAAAGATTTTTGGTAGCTTATGGATTGTCTCCAAAGGAATAAAGTTTAAGGTTTGATACAGCTAATTATTTCAAGTATATTGTGAAGATATGCATGACCTGGTTAAAGATATTTACAAAGAAAAAGTGGCTCCTGTAAGTCACAGAAGCTACTTTACGATAAGCATATTAACCAATTCAGTTTACTCTTTCTGGCATACATTTTTTTTTTCCTGGAGAGTAGTTAGTTTCCAAGTTTAAAACTCAAAGAGAGGTTCAAGTAGTGAAACACCATTCCAATTTCACTTCATAGAAAAATTTGACTTAATTCACTTTGTAAGAATTGCATTCATATTGTTTACGTGATGGCTAGACATTTAGCATTGCTGAGATTCAATAAAGCACTTATACACATGCTTAAGTCACATTTGAAGTTAAGGGGACTGAAGCATGTGTTTATGTGCTGTCTCAAATAGGGATGCTTCCTGAATCAGTGCTTGTGTCACAGACTAGAAAAATTACATAGAAACATTCCATGGACATGTGGCTGCAAGTTTAGAATGTCCATTCTACTGGTACTTGTCACGACCTGGTGCGCTACCTTTGGAATCATTGATGAAGTTCGCTAATTGAATGTTCCTGACTTGACTTGGGACAGGCCATCCATTGTTGTCATTCAAGTAGTCCTAATTAGTTAACCTCTCATTAAGGCAAATGGTCATTCCTATGACTGCTGCTTTGCAATACTGGAGCTAACTTTGCAATGAGAGAGGAAAAAACTTCATATTAAAAAAAAAAATACAAAAAGAAACAGATAAGCCCAATTTCTTAAACAGACACCTAATACATGATCTGATTTTTTTTTCAGAAGTCCTGAGTACTCAGTAAGGCTTACTATCGGAACGCCAGTGTTTTGAATTCTTTAAAGATAGCTGCTGGGTGCACAGACTTGTTTGGGTGTGGGGCAAACCAGTCCAATTACTTAGGTACCCGATGGCACATAATTGGTTGTAATTTGCTGATACAGTTAATCTTAAAAGTATACTGGACTAAAGACTTCTCAATCTGAACAAATACAGAAAAAAAACTCCTATAGGTTGTTGTTCTTTCAGTAATTAGATATTAGTGATATGTTCATTATTAGATACCTGACTAGATTTTCTTAGCAAAAATGTGCCCAGGGAGCATGACTTATAAACTGAGATGTCCATATTACTTAAATCTTTATATGTACTTGTACTTTATACAAGTGCAGAAGAGGGTAGGAAATTTAATATTTTTAGTAAAGCCAGAGCGGGCATCTATTACATAAATACCCGAGGTTGAGAGAAATAAGTCTTGAGTAGGGCAGAGGACACAAATTGGTCCTATAAGCAAGGTTAGTTATGACATGCAAAAAAACCAGAGGAATAATATCAAACAGCTACTGAGGGAAATGGCATGAAATTGGAAAGGCAAGAATAAATGTGTAAGATGTCAACATTTAAAACGCTTGGGGAAACAACTTGGGCTTCAGTAGCTTTATGCAATTAAAATGTTTTTTAACATGGACTTTTTCCTATTAGATATGAGGAAGCAGAAGTTCGGAAAAAGCTTGAAGAAAAAGAGAGATTAGAAGAACAGCAGAAAAAGCAAGAATTAAAAGATGATGGAAAGGCTTTAGCTAAAAAGTCTCCAGAAAATGCAGTAGATTCCAGAGGAAAAAACCAAAGGGTAATGGAAGGGAATGTTTAAATACACTATTGAAGCTATAAAGACATAATGTTTAAATTAGTACTTCAGTAAATAAACTGTTAATGGAGATCAACGTATTTTGAAGAAACTGAGTTACTAGTAAAGTTGCACCCATGACTAGATTGTTTACCTTGTGGAAAGCTAAATGTTACCAGTTAAAGTTAAGTTTTCAGTTCTACCCTTTTTGGTGAAAGGCTTTAAGTTACTCTTTTATGGCATAATATGAAACTTTTGAAAGATTAATTTGTCTTGGATCTTCATAAACATATTTTAAATTTGAAGCATCCCACAGAACTCTTAAAATTCTACAGAATAATAGACTTCAATTCTTCTATAAAGCTCAAGTTTTTTTCTCCATAAAATAATGCTATTCATTAGTGTAGAATAATTGTGCCTTCATGTCCTTTGAGGGCTAGTGGTAATAAATTTGAGCAAATTCAGGTGAAAGCTGTATTCTGTCCTTTAAGTCCTCTTAAAAGTGGGCTATAGGCTCCCCGTTTGGCTGATAATTACACCACCTAATGGCTGGACAAATTTCACATATGCTGAGAATCCTTTTATGTCTGGATAAATGCATGCTCATGTGTCATGTAATATCTAAACAGAGTATCTTTCATTATGAATTCCAGTGAATGGAATTGTTTCTTTAGCTTTGTGCATGGAAAGGATCCTCCATGTTGCAGATCTTGTGTCTCTTCTTTGAGAGAATATTGACTATCTATGGACCACATTAAGTTGGGTAAAGAAAATCTGTGACTGGAGTGAGAACAGCTTTTTCTGTTATGGGCAGCTGCCCTCCTGTCCTCTTTTTGGGGACTTCTAGACATCTGCCAGGAGACCTTCATAGAGGTTTCCCTCTAGCGGGTCCCTTCCTGTTATGTTCATGTTTTGCAAGTCAAGGATCACTTGGTGACCAACTTGTTACTTTATAAAATAAACCAGCAACATCTAACACTTTTTTTAATACAATAATACAGCTCAATGGTGAGAAGAAGGGGTCAGTGGAAAGAAAAGATCGATTTGACAGCCTGAGTGGTAAGTGACACAGTGTTTCATAGGAAAAAAGCTTCATAAAATTCAGTTAAACAGTAAGCATTGAAACAACTGACAAAGGGTTGTGATGGATTTTCCATTATTAACAATTTTTAAATTGTGACTGGATGTTTTTCTGAAGGTCAGCTGCAGGAATTATTTTTTGGGATTTTTATGACCTGTTTTCTGCAGAAGGTTGGACTAGACCAGAGTTTTTCAAACTGGGGGGGAATGCCTTGGGAGAAATGGAGGGGGATAAGAAGTTTCAGGAGAGCAGCATCTGCTGCTTAGGAGCCCAGCTCTGAAGGCAGCACCACCACCAGGACCAGAAGAGATGGTATGGTATTGCAACGCCTTACTTCTCTATTGGTCCTGATGGTGGCACTGCCTTCACAACTAGACTCCTGGCCAGCAGCTGCTCTTTGCCTTCAGAGGTGGATGGCCATAAATATACACAGGTTCAACCTCTCTCTAAAGTGGGACTTTCCAGTCCAGCAACATCCATGGTCCTGCTGGACCAGAAATCCCCAGCTACCATTGACCTCCATTCATTCAGCAAACTCCCTTGTTTTGGCTACTCGGGTCCCAAAGGTACTGATCAGGGAGATCCACCTTGTTCTTGTGTAGCAGAAGCAGTGGAGAGAGAGATTTAAACAGATATATAATGGTGGTACAGTCAGTGAAGTGAGAACCACTGGATAAGACAATCACATTGGTCCTTTCTGGCTTTGGTTTCTTTAATAGCTTCCTTCATTTCCCTCAGAGTTCTTCTCTTAAAAGTCAAAATTAGTGCACCATCTTAAATTAGCATTATATTAATCATGATACTTCAATGTATTAGTTGAGCCTCCTTAATCTTCTGTTTTTTTAAAAAATTACATTTATGACTCTGAGCTTTTAATGACTTCTTTAGTTGCTTTTCCATGACTTTCATAAAAGTTGTCCAAAATTTGCGCCATTAGGTGATTTGAGAGTGGTGGCTTTTAGGAAATACTGAATTTTGTGAATTATTGTTTAATGAGCTATGCAATTATTTCAAATGTAGACTGAACGAACCGTGCCATGGTCAAACAGACAGAATAAACCAGCTACAAATAATGTGAAATATTTCTAAAGAGACTTTTGTAAGAAAATGTTGATTTAAACAAAGGATCCTTTTCCCCAGACTCTATTCCACCATGGTGCAAATATAAAACTCTTCTCTTAAGTTTTTGTTTGACCCCATTAGAGAAGCACCTACAGTCCATTGTTAATAAGAAGCCAGAGCAGACATGTGTATCTCAGTGACTGAAAATACTGACCATTTTGAAAAACTGATGATTTTTTTAAAATTGTATAAATCAAAGACCAGCTACTGATTGTTGCATTGGAAACTGACAGCTATCAGATTTCCCATCTTCATCTGTATTTATTTGCAAACAAGAGTCTTGACCTCTTCAGAGAGATTTGATCACAAGTGATTTTCTTTTTCTTTGCATATACTACCCTTCTGTATCTCAAGGAGCAATCACTGCTGAGAAACTGTTTTCAATGATGATGGACAAAAGCATCGAATTGCTCATAATGGATGCTCGAAGCTTGAAAGATTATCAGGAATCCTGTATACCAAATTCCATCAGTGTGCCAGAAGAAGCTATCAGTCCAGGGTAGGGAATAACCTTCATGCAGGAGTGAAAGTAATTTCTTACAAGTATTGCCCTATCAAAACCCGCTGCCTATGGGGAGGGTTGCAATAGGACAGTATCCATAAGAAATTTAAATGTGGGATGGAGTATGAGGGCTCAGGACAGGGGGTTGGTGAGTGTGGGTATCGGGCAGCTGGGGGGGGTGGAGAGTGCTGACATCTGGAGGACAATAAGGGTGTATACATGAGTCTGGGCAGGGGGTGAGAGGGGAGGTTTGGAGGTTCAGAGACAACGCTACCATTGCCCAAACACTAGGGCTGGAGCCTGTGTGTGCTACAGCCATATGGCTTGGGGTTCTAGTAGCATCTAAAGCCTGGCCCCCAGCTAGCTAGTGTCTTACCAATGCGCTACACTGGGGCACACTGGCTTACTTTCACCTTTTCCTTCATGTGACAGAATTTTGCACCACCATGAATTAATTATACACAATTTAGTGGTCAAGAAATATAAAATATAGTTCTCTGGTTTTCTTATATTTAGACTGACTGAAAGCCACTTCCTTGTGTAAAAGTTATGAGCTACTTGTTAAAAGTGCAGTGAGCATGTGCTCTCAGTTTCAGAAAGAAATTGGTATGAGCTGTAAACATTTGGCTTTTTTTTTAGGCTTTTGGGTACACTGGAATAACGTAACTTGCTTCATTGTTTCTTAGATATAAATCATACCTTTCATTTATAGACAACGCCTACATATTTTTTAGCCAGTCTTGGACAAAATGTGGTGTTTGTACTCTTTAACAGATTTTCCTGTATTCCAGAGTCACTGCTAATTGGATTGAAGCTAAACTCCCAGATAATTCTAAAGGTCCATGGAAGAGAAGGGGAAATGCTGATTATGTTATACTGCTTGACTGGTATAGTTCTGCAAGAGATTTAAAGCTAGGAACAACTCTACAGAGCCTGAAAGAAGCACTTTTTAAAGTATGCAACTTTGTCATTTTATATTTTACTCTATTATTCTAGTTAATGAGAAGTGGCTTTTAAGTAGCTA